CGCCTTCCTCCCTTCTCCTCCTCCTCCTGCTCCTCCGCGCGGGGTGAAGGAGCTTCCTCAGAGGGCGGGTGGCGCGCAGCCTGGTGGGGTAAGGGCGGCGGTGAGGCGACGGCGGGGAGCCCCGCACCGCGCAGCCCGGCAGTACCCCCGCCCCGCCCTATAGCCGGCAGAGGCACAACAGGTCCGGGGGAGACCGCGCCGCCGCCTCTTCTCCTCCCTTTCCCCGTCCCCCAGCAGGTCCGCAGCCGGGGGACCCTCCCAACCCCGCGCTGTGTCCCCTCGGGCTCCCAGTGCTCCCTCTGTGCCTTCCATCCCGCACTCGTAGTGCTGCCCGGCCGCGCTCTGCGAGCCGCCGCCCTCCTCCTGCCCTCGGGTGCTCCACGTACTTCCCGACACTTCGTCCCCATCCCGGGCTGTCCGCGTTACCACGGACCCCAGTGGCTTCCACAACTCTGGCGGGAGGCTCGGGCACCCAGCTCCCAACCCCGGCATGCAGAACGCACCGCAAGAGGCGAAACCTCTTCAGCCGGCGCCTCCCCTGGAAGTTGCAGCTCAGTTTTCTCCGCTCAGCGGAGAAATCACTGAGGTCTCAGATCCCCCCCCCCTCCCCCCCCGCTCTCCCCAGGCATCTCTGCCGCTCGCCTCACACCGCGTCGCTAATGTTTAAAGTGGTGTTTCGCAAAGGGAGCGGCAGGCGGGGAAGGGAGCGGCCTCTTACCCGGGAGGTCCATGGCTGGAGAGGATAGCTGGCTGAGGAGCTCGTCCTGGACCTGGTACTGCTTAGAGAAAATGAGCCGAGATTGCGCTGGCAGAAAGAAAAGGAAACAGGAGTCGCCTCTTTCTCTCCCGCCCATTGCCAATAATCCCCCCCCCAATCTCCCCCCTCCGGCCGCCACCGCCACCCGACGTTCTCCCTCCTCCCCTCCTTCCCTCCTCTCTCTCACACACACGCAAGCACCCGGCAGGGATTTAGTCTCCGACACCCCCTGCAGCACCGCGGGACTCCTCCCGCCGCCGGCTGCAGCCAGAGGTCGGACAGACCCTTCGACATCTATAGCTGCACCCGTCGGGCTGAACGAACGTGCTGGAGGGGAGTAGATGCCTACGGACAGCCGCGCAGCATCGCGAGCTGGAAGCTGCTTGGAATTCAGGGTTTAATGCAGATAACAATAGTACAAAACACTTAAATGGACCCGCTGTCGGGAGCACCGTACCTCGAAGGCCCGAACTCCCCGCCGCCCCTGCGCGGAACAGAGCCCAGCGCTCAGCTCACCATTAGGACAGCAGCGCTGCCCTGGGGCGGTCCCACTCCCAGCCCTGCGCCCGCACCGCCCGCCGAGCCGCGCCATAAGCGGGCGTGTGGCGCCACCTGGCGGCGGCGGCGGGCGCAGCGCGGGCCGGGAGCGGGTCGCGACCCGAGAGCGAGAGGGAAAACCCCCGAGGGCCGGGCGCCAGCTAAGGACTGGGGCGGCCACCCCCGCCAGCTGTCCCTCCGGTCTTACAGAGCGATGGCGCCTATTACCGCCAAGGTTTATCAGTTTGCACCGGCTGCGAGTGTTTCGTGTGTTTCAGCGTGAGGCTGCTGCTGGGAGGGAGGGGACCACGAAGCGCTGGCGGTGAAGTTTTGCGAGAAAAGCATTGCATTTCCATGCACTCTTCTAATTTACAAATGGGTTTTCTGGATGCATATGGCGTTTTCCTGGAGATCCTGATATGCAGACTTCAGCATCTGAAAGTATGCTAGAGAACCATACATAAATCCAAATGGTGGCTGTAATGTTCCCGAGCCGGAGAAAAATTTGCAGGTGTATCTCTGTAGTAAAATTACGATCTCATCTATGAATGAGTGCTCCTGTTTCAATCTTCTGCTATAACCACCAGTAAGGAACCCCTGCGGGTGTCTGCCTGATGATTTGCACTGAGAAATTAATCATGCCCTGAAATCACAGCTAAGCAGTGTGCAGGGAATACCTAACCTATAGCTCCTTATTTTAAATGAGAATTTTATAGTAAGCCTGAAATACTTGCATTTGATGGTCTTTTTTTTTTTTTTTTCTTTTTTCTTTTTTCTTGCTTGTGCTCGGGTATGGAGGGATGAGAGTAGAAAGCTGATATGCATAGGACACTAATAAGTATCAGAAAATCAAAGCAGGAACCAGGCTGCAAGGCAGCACCCATTCTGCAAGACAGTGAGAAGGACCACAGAAATTCATCCAAAGATATCAATTCTCAATCTCACATAGCTCTGGTACACTGGGGAGTCTTTAGATCAGACTAGTCATTGATTATTACTTTGCTGTATAAATGAGGGATCAAAGCAGAGCCCAAAGATTTGCTCATTGTTTTATGTGACTTACAGAGCCCAGTGGTGAGGGAGGGATGGCGCGTCATCACTTCTCTCTGTTGCTCTTAAGAAAGATGAGCATGAAAACTAAAGGCAGCTGGAAAGCTCTTAAATGTACTGTGCATCCACAGGAAAACAGATGAAATCTTGCCTTTCTTCCAACACAAGGGATGAATCCCACACTTATGAATCCCCTTTCTCTTTTGGCAGATAACTTGCAAAAGAACTGTCAGCACGAATGCAAATGGAAGATAACAGAATATTTACTTGTAAACAAATCTATAATTATATGACATTTAGAATGCCAGTTTAAAAAAAGCTCTACTTATGATTTCTAATTAAATACTATCCTTAAGGGATCAATTCACAACCTTCATGAAGCGACGTCGTTGCCAGAATTACAGAATTATTTTTGTATTTTCCTTTCTTCTGCGAATGGCCAGGCTGGAAATATATTTGGAATTACTAGTTGCAGTTCACTCAGTTATGGAATGACTTAGAATCATAGAATCATAGAATCACAAGGTTGGAAACTAGCTATAAGATCATCTAGTCCAACCATCTTCTCATTACCATTGCTACCACAAGCACTAAACTGTATCTCGCAGCTCCTCATCCAGAAGCCTCTTGAACACTGCCAGGGACGGCGACTCCACCACCTCCTGGGCAGCCATTCCAGTGCCTGACCTCTCTTTGAGAGAAAAAGTTTTTCCTCATGTCTAAAAAGAAGGTTTAACTTTTAAAGAAAATAGACAAAGTCTTTATAGTCCTCTTCCTTGAGCTCAGAGTTGTTTATGTTGGGAAAGAACTGTATTATCAAGCTTGTGCTTTTTTTTCAAGTTATACCTGGTGGTGTGGGATTCTACAAGAAATGGAAATGCTCACTTCACTGGGACATTCCTTAAGCTAGCACTCACCTTCAACTCATTTAAGCCGAAAGCTTCAAGGGGAAAAGCTTTTTGTCTCATCTACTAAATCATCAACAGAAAGGGGTTTTGATCAGTAGCTCCCAACTGTTTCCCATACATTATTTACATTAATGCCTAGCAAAATGGGACACTTCTTTCCCAAAGAAAATACACGCTTAACTATTCCTGAAATTAGTTCACGGATATTTGCATGTTTTATCTATACATTATATATGCAAGCAGATGAATGGAATACAGAAAAAGAGAAGATGTTCTTTTAATGTGAAACACATTTTTGTCTTCCCATAGCATGAGAATAAGTTTATGACAGGGATGCAAAAACAATTTTTATGATGAACCAGGGTGCAGAAGACTGAGTCCGCATTTACTGAACAGACTGCCCTTTAGCTTAACAAATGTTGTTTCCATGGATTATGTATCCTTCAAATATTCTACTGTAAGACATTAAAAAATGGAATTTGATAAATGTGGTTTTTTTTCTTTGCAAGCATACTACTGGTAGAAAAAGTGTCAACAATAGTTTGTGATTAAATTAATTGATGTGACACCCCCATCATCCCACTCCCCAGGTAAGTCAGTTCCCTGTTACATTCAACCATTAATACAACTAAAGTAATATTTTGTACATTCAAATTAATTCGTTCTTTGTCTGTCTATCAGGGCACCAGGGCAGATTACTTCACAGCTACCAGCTATGGCAAAGATTATGTAACTTTCTGGTGATAACATCCGCAAGATTTTCAAGTGCACACAACCAAAAAATATATATATAATAAACTAGAGTTCATTCACAGAATGAAGCTTAGACTACTTTTCTCCTGGTCCTTAGGGCCTCAAACATCAACTAAGGCTATATTTTATCCTGCAGAGGATGACTTACCATGAGTATTTCTGAGGTGTCAGTTCCGATTTGCAGAGGTACTCCCCTCATAAGAAGATCAGGACTACAGAGGGAAACTTTTGCATAACGTCTTCATATGGAATACGACTGTAATTTCGGACATATATGCATACCATCTTACACACTGAGAGAAATACATGTAATTCCTCTGCATTTTTTTCTTGTAAAAATATCAAAAAACTGCTAGACAGCAGTCTGGATTGGAGCATATAACTTTCTTTTCTTCCATAATGTAACTCTGATTTCCAATGATTTGTTAAATATTTAATGGAAGCGTGACATACTAAAAAAGAATAAAGCATTGGAATAAACTTTAATTGCAGATGTAATTAATCATAGAGCTCTGACTTGATACTATGAAATATCAAATTGGTTCTCTCTATGTCTTTGTATTATAGCATTCACAATTACTTGGATAATACTACTACCTCTTCAGAAGTGCAAACTTATTGAATCATTATCAAAGCTTTTCTTCAATATTTTTTTGTGCTGCAACTCTCTTATTAAAGTATTGTTAAATGCAGTCTTGTACACCCTATAGAGATGAAATAGACATGAAATGCCACATAACTCTGGTGGTGGTACCAGAGTTCTTACACATGGTTGTGCTATGATATTAAAATGCACTCCTCTAAGACAAGTTTGTAATGCTGCTACCTTACATACTGTACCAGATAATGTTCAACAAATAGCCCCTGCAGTGAGATGGCTAGCACTTAGCAATATGTAACTATACTCTGTTTTATCTCTCATTTCATGGATTTTCAGCTCCAGGAGGAGAAGAGATAAATAGTTTTTAAGATGAAAGCTATTCTGTAATACTTTTTTTTTTTTTTTTTTTTTTTTCCCCTAATGCAGTGTTCTGACTCTATCACCAGCCTCCTTGACAAACAAATTTTCAGGCCAGTCAGGTTTGTTTGAGAGAGCTTAGAAATGCAGATGTCATATCATTAAAAAATTGCAGCAGAAAGCTTGTTTTTTTCTAAGCATAAACAAATCAGAAACATTCAGACAATGTGAATGCAGTCTCCTATATACATGGTGCATTCAATGCTTAACTCCATTTACAAGGTTTGTGTCCTCTGAACAGTGCTTAGCAATGAAACTTGAACAGGTTTCTGCTATTGTCTGAGTTCTTTCTTTCCAAAATAACATTTTCTTACCTTGATAAGACAGCAACACAGCTCATCTTCCAAGGAAGGAACTGAAGACAATTCAGCACACCTTCCAAGG